TGGTATCATCTACACCTAAAATAATATTGGATTTATTACATTCTGGTAAGTGAATATCAAAATCAAAGAGCCAATTCCTTAATTCAAAATAAAAATTCATTGATTCAATGCATTCTACAAAAAGATGATCAATAGTTTCAGGATATAATGAGCAAAAAGAACAGGACGAGTACTCCAAAATTTTAAAACGGTGAAGATCCCGGTTGAGATATAATATATTATTCAAAATCTTGTATTGAAAATATCTCGAGTATGTATCGATTGCTGTGGTATAAATTCTGTTATAAATTTTTTTCCAGTCCAGGGGGTTCAATTCTTGATTCATTTTCTTGGTTATTTTCTCTTGCGACGTAGGAAACTTATTACTGAGCCGAGGTCAAAATAGCAGCAATGAAAAGAAACGGTTCCGCTGGGGGAAACCTTTGGATAGCTATAGAGAGTTGAGGTGAATCTACGTGTTCAAATCTTACTCACAATATACATGATTCATTTGTTATTTACAGATGTTGGGTTAGCCATTCTGTTCTAGTTTCCCTTCTTGTACCTCCGATCGCCGTCATTGTCTTGGTAAGTATGATACACGGTGCAGCTACTAGATCTTTGATATAGTTTGATTCTCGTATATTTCCTGTTTATTTTATTTTTTCATGCGACAGACTAACATAGTGATACTTGGTATGGTGATTGGAGTCTTGCTATCCCCGAATACTAACGACAGACAAAAGAAAAGTGACAACGCTACCTTGCTTGCAATCAGGTAAATCTATTAGAGTAGAGTGTACCCACTGAACAAAGATTTGGAAAGAAAAAATGCAGGATCAAAAGGGCAGCAAACACCAAGTACCCTGGTGCACAGTCGTAGTATATCCCTTAACCCCATCAGGTAAATCTATTAGAGTAGAGTGTACCCACTGAACAAAGATTTGGAAAAAAAAAAAAAAATGCAGGATCAAAAGGGCAGCATGCACCAAGCTTCCTGGGGCACAGTCGTAGTACATCCCTCAAACCAAACGAGCCGATGATAATATGTTAACCTTAAGCTCAGAATATTTTATTTCTTTCATTACATTTGACAGTTTAACTATATGTTTCTAATAAGTACTTGTTTTATTTGTAGCGCAAATCTCAAGATAACTCTCGTACTTCTTCCTCTCCTTATCATCACATGGGTTCTGGGCTTTCTTCAAGTCAGCGCTGACTCTGTAGCTCTTTCTTATGTCTACACCCTTCTCAATTGCACCCATGTAAGTATTCATTTATAGTTATTATTGATGGCGGAATAAAAACTCGGGTGATCGACAATAATAATAGATCATTGACTTACCTTGAAAACGCAAATGAGTGAGTATGAGTGAATCTGTTGAGGAGTTCAGTCATAAATTCGGTGCAAATCACTCACCACAGAAGCTGAAGAGTGGTAGTCTTTGCGTAGCAATAAATGATTAAATTTTTTTTCAGGGCATCTTTGTTTTTGTCAACCACTGCATCCTCAACTTTGAAGTGAAAAACACTTTCAAGAAAAAGTTTTGTAAAAAATTCGACCCAATATCAAACTGGTATGGAGTCAAGTCCAAGAGGAGCTCACCTTCTGACAGATCACACCACACTCAGAGAGATTCAGATTTATTCTCTCCATCTGTTAGCAAGGTATAAAGCATGCTCTAAGCATAATCATATTGCGTGATGAAAAATCAAACCGACCCATGTTATGCGAAATAGCCGTTGAACTACAAAGCGCGTCTCCAAAATAGCCTAAGGGACTCATTAAAATTTGCAAAATCGACGAGGTCGGGGTTCTGTTCATCTGAGATTTCATTCAAAACATTATCAGTAAAGTCAACTTATCCACATGGAAGACAGACTTTGAAGACGCGAAACCCAAAGTGAAGTTATTTGGTATTTTGAATTTGCAAAACCCTAAGTCCCCTTTTGTATTACTGTGAACAACTCACCGAACGGGCATAAGTAGTTTACTTGGCTCAGAAGTACCTTGCATGCTGTAACGTGACGAGGCCGTGCCGTGTCGTTTAACTATGAGTCAGTCATGGGAAATCTGCTCTAACTTTCTACATATATGATCGAATCGTTACAACTACCAAAAGCCATTCTATCGATGCACTTAAGGATATAAAGCATAGTTCCAGTCAGTGTAATGTGATGTATAATTAATCCCGAAATGCATTTCCGTCCAAATGACACAGAGTATAATCAAGCCACACAGTTTAATGAAACTTTTAAATTGGAAGTTAGTTTGTGCACTTTCCTGAAACTTTTCACAAACGAAATTCAATATCGAAATTAAAACAGCGCATCTTTTATCTTACTATCTCTTTTGAATAGGCAAAAGCTTACACAGATACTTCCTTTAGTAAAGCTACATCCAAGAAACGATTGCAAAGCAGCCAGGGAAGCCACGGAAGTCAAGAAAGTTTTATCTATGACTCAAACGAAGACATTAAGGTTTGATTCACTATACTAACTCTTGACAGTGTTTTTCTTTTTACTCAATTACGTTTTAAAACCATGGCATTTTTCTTTAAAGAAAAAACTGATAAATGTTTAAAGCAACATTCTTGTTGGTTTTATGAACTTTTCTTATCATTATCATTCTTGTTTCTATTTCAACAGACCCAATGGCGTGTGGCTAACAACCACAACTAGTACTAATGATATAATGAAAATCATAAAAAAGCCGCCCTTAGCTAGAAGATGGAGGGCTAATGAAGACTGCAGCCTTTGTCTATATTTGATCATCAATCGAGTTTACGCTTGCATAAAAATGAAACTTTTTATGCTACTAGAGATCTCAAAGTTGGGTGGACATATTGTTCCGCCGGGGGGACGAAATTAACGCTTTTATGTGAATGCACGTAATAATAATCTCTCAGATGTCAAATAAAATTGAAAAAATTAACCTGCAAATATTAGTAACCAACTTAACCTGTGTAAACATGTTTAGACTTTGACTTGTGTCTCGCGCCATCTTCAGAATAAATTTTACAAGAATAGTGCAAATATCTTTTACGAGTGAAATGTGCTAAAGTGTATCTGTCAAGGACCCTTGAGAAAAACTAAAATGACGAGAAACATCTAATAGAGTGGTTTCCATGCACCCACGAAACAAAGTGTACCGATTAAAGTGTAATAATCAGATAAATACAATAGAAAACAAAAGAATGTAATGGAACTAAAAGCTAAAGCGTATTTCACAGGTTTATGGAAACCACTCTAATGATATTTTTTCCACGTGTAAGATCTAGTTGAAAAATAAAACTTTAACACTTTTAAAAATGTTTGAACAAGTGATACGTGAAATGCTAACTCATCCCCTTGAAGCAAATCATTTGCAATGTTATGTTACTGTATGAGTACCTTATATTTGGTTGACGAGTTTCTAATTTCAATCGATCCCTTAAATTTCATATATGGCGTTCCTCGATACTGTTTTTGACTTACGCAAACGTTGTTTAACATGCCACAAAACTGATCCAATTGGTCTCGTTTTCCGATGACATGAACCTATTTCTTAATCATACAAAAATTACTAATACTTTAAATACTCTGTTTTACATTATTCTATAATGAACTAAAATCTATAAGATTTACTATTGACAAATAATCTCTAAAACAAAATTTATTCTGAGAGTTTGCTGGCTATTCTACTTCTCTTCGTGGATTGATACGGGTTTTAGAACAAATTTTCGGTGAATTTGCGTCGATTTGACCCCGCCCAACGGCCATGATCCTTTGCGTTTAAACAGATAGATTGTTGAAGATTGTTTTGATAAGACGTCATAGTGAAATATTGCAATTGTTGCTGCCTTTTGTGTGGTTGGGAAAAAACTGGGTTCAGTTGACATTTAATACAGTGCATTGTGGGAATGTTTTTATGGACAAATTTTTTACAAGATGGCATCTATTTCATCACCTACAACAGCCCACAATGCACTGCAATGCCAATCAACTCACCCCAGTTTCTTTCTCAAACTCGGAATGGCTAGAAAACGGCTACTCATTAGTTTCCCGCCATGTCCAGAGCCTTGAACGAAATTATCCAAAGAAAATCAAATCAATAGAAATCAAACTTAAATCACCTTTCACACACACACGAAAAAACAAATAAAATAAATATCTTAGTCTTTCCATTTCGATCTTTCCATTTCGATCGGTATTTGTTTTTATTATATTATTCCTCCCACTCACACACACACACTATCAAAACACGCTTCTATGAAATGACAGTCCATTGGGATACCTGTCCTCCATTTTATCCATCCCAATCTTATATAAAAAGACTTTATATCAAATCGAATTACTATGACTAACTGACTGACTGACTGACTGGGTGTCGTGTCCGTCAATACCAAACAATACATGATAATGAGGCTATTTGCTTTGATTAACCGCTGACACCCGTAAGGACCCACACAAGTCATAAACATTAGGACAGCAAGATGGCGATGATAGCAAATGATGCAGCCACAATGTTAGCCGAAGCCTTAGAAAAAATGGACGGGCTTATATCCGATGACCAGATGATGATGGAAGGATTAAAGCCAAGTTCTCTATCTTTTTCACCTAATGATCAAATATTAGGTTTAGCAGAAGATTTACGCAATGCTCTAATGAGTGTGGTTCCCTCGAATCGTCCAAATATCCGAATCCCGAACAAGACCGCTCAGTTTCTCCTGGATTGGTTAAAATCACTTTTGGTAAGAAGAATTAATGCATGGTAATTTTTCTGTGAGAGTTAATTATGCCAAGTTTATACCAAATTTTTTTTTTCTGTTGTAGGAGCCAAATGGTAGCAGCCAGAAGTCAGGAATTTGTAGCAATGGCGAAGTTTCTCGTGCACAGATCGAGCGACTAGAAGAAGAAAAGGATTCTCTAATCTTACAAGTGAGCGTTTTGACAGATCAAGTCGAAGCACAAGGAGAGAAAATGAGGGAACTTGAATTTACCCTTGAGGAACAAAAGATTAAGGCGGAAGATTTAGAACAAGAACTCAAGAAAGTAAGTTATAACAGATCCGTTGTTCATTTGACTGTCGTATATGATAGCTTCTATTTGATGATTTCCGGTTTTTAATACGGCGAGTAAGTTTTCTTCTGTTGTAATGTTGAGTACTTCAGAGCCTAAAACAAGTGCTTTTAGTTGATTGCCATTGGCGTTTTACTTTTTCTTTAGAGACTTTAATAATTGGTATTAATGTAAAATTGTATGTATTTTAATGAGGCAAAACATCACTGAAGTCGACAGTGGATCCTACCGACCGACAGCGTGCAGAGAGATAATTATCGCCTTTGTCAATAAATCCATCAGCTTGCATCTCTGTCGTACTTTAAATTGTCATAATATTTGTACAATGCCAAAACTAATTAGACTTTTTGTAGCCTAAGTCGTTTATAGATGTACACATTTAAGTACAATGTGGAAACTGATCGAACTTGTGATCCCATGAAAGGTTTATTTTAAGAAATCTCATTGGTGATCGACAATGTGTACGCATACATCCGTGTCAGTGTATAAAAACATTGTAGACTCATGTAGATTGTTTTTGTGGTGTTTAAAGTAGTATTAACCAGACAATAAGATATATAGCTGGTAATAAATGTTTTTAAATCCTAGCTTTTCTATAGGCCCTTCGAGGGAATTCTTTCTGGGGGAGGTCAATTTAGAGAAGAATAAAAAAAGAATTTAAGTTTTTGTAAGTTTACAAGTTACTATTTTATTATTTTATTGTCCTCCATATTAAGTTGGAATGAGATAAATAAAGCTATTGAACTAAATCATTCGTAAATGGTCATGTCATTTAATAGAGGTTTTGCACCATCACGTGATGGTAGCCATGTTAGATGGCAGGAACAATACATTAATTTTACATGAGAAAGAATTCCATTCCTTAGAACAAAGGGATTTTATTATTTTGTCGTCTAACCACAGGCAGTCCAAGCTGTATTATGGGTTTTGGCATGTGATGGTGCAAAACTGCTATTAAAGAGAAAATAACAGAAAATTGTGGTTATTATACTTTGCGACAGGAAACAGCCAAGTTGTCATCTTTTGACAAGGAGAGAGAACAGTTACTGGCAGAAATTTCTTGCTTGAAATCAGCAGCCAATCAGCCTAACCAAAGCATGACTTCAGATGAGGAAAATCCTAAGGTAAACAATAGCAGACTAGGGATTACCTTGATCCCAAACCTGACCTTAGTTGATGTATCATACAGTATTTATATCAGAGGATTATGCTGAATAACATAAAGGGATTACCTGTCATGAATGCTTTCAATAATAAAACATCGCCATCCCTCAGGGACTACGATAAAAATGACAATTACATTGTTGTGAATATTTCTTGTTTATATTTCTGAAAAAATATGCTCTGAAGGTCCCAGAGCTCAGGGAACACCTGGTCATTTTATCCAATGATTACAAAATATTTGGATCATGTTTCTGTGAAAGTGTGCCAAGCAGACTGGGCCTTTTTGGCAAATGATGAAAAATTTTTAGTGAAATGCCTATTCCTGGCTGTCAAATGTTTAGGTCAAGATGGATGATAGATCCATAATAAAACAAAGGTGCAGATATTAGATGACTATAGTTTATGGCACAGCCTTATCATAACTTAACCATACCATATAACAGTTTCACATATAAAGACAGATTGAACAAATTAATTAAGACATTTGCCCTCGAGAAGAAAGCTGGAGTGTGCTCTTTCCCATGTGTATGTTGTTGTCTTTGAGGATGGCCAGCTTTGATAAAATAATATAACAGTGCATATGTCATTTTAAGACTCTTCATTTAGTTTTTACTTATCTGTTTTCAATGACATCAGTGGGTAACATGTACAATACTAATCAAACTCACACTCCATATTTACTAATAACTCTATTTACATAAATCATGTTTGTTGTCTATAGGCTGTAGCAGAATATGAAGCCACGATTGCTGAAAAGGAATCTGAGATTGAACTACTGAAAGACCACATTGAGGTTCTGCTTGATGAACAGGAAACTCTACAAAGAACTCTTGGTGATGGTATGTACCGTTATTCTCAGGTGCATATTTATTGTATCTGAAACCCTGTACACCTGATGCTTAAAATCATTAGCCAATCTTCCAACTTTTTTCTCCTTGAATTTAAATCCCTGAAAACCTTATTTCTTTGATGACAAACATGAACAGCTAGCTAAAATATCGTGTAATAGATATATAATTACGTAAACACCTGTTTCATGAAATTAAAGGCTATTGCAGGCTTTTTTTTTTTTTGAGAGGAATAATAAGAAACATCTATTTATTTATTTATTTTTTCATTACATATGCAATGGCTTAAACACAAGCACATCATGTTTAACCTCAAATTAGTTCATTAGTCTATCACCTATTGTTCTCTGCTATATATATATTGTAATCTCACTTTACTTCACCATCACTGATGATGGCAGTCAAACCTGCCAAAACATGTTGGTTTAAAACTGCCAAATATCAAAAGTGTTGTTGTTTGTCTAGAATTTTTAATTCACTTGTTGCTGCTTAGACCTTTTGGAACATCTATTTCCTTTCACTTTACTTTAAACTCAGGTCCGGTACCCATCGCAATAAACTGGTTAAAGTTGAAAGATTAATTTTTTTGTGATTATAATTGTATATAGGCCATGCTTCATCAGGGCTGAAGACACAACTTAGGGAAAAAGGTATATTATTCACAGGGATAATAAGTAAATACAGTAGATTATATTGGTTTTATTTGTCTATACATATAGTATTAATTTATGGTCATAATTTCTGATAGTTTGTTTTAATTACAGCATAATTCTCTTTTCCTCATGTTCAATCATACCATCTTGCCTGCGTCAGTTAGAATACCACATAATGTGATGTTAATATTGATGCTTTAAGATCTTACTGTGATAACATACAATAGATATTACCATGGTTAGCCATTCCTCCTTAAATTGACTTGTTAAGTCGGGTTTTTTTAGCTTCTGAGGTCAATAAGCTCAAGCTACAAGTTGAGACTCTGACAGCAGTAGTTGAGGATAAAGAGAGCAAACTCAAAGAACTCCAAGGAACTGTTAGCAAGTTCAAAAGAGTGAGTCAGTGCAGCTATTTTGAAGATTACAGTATTAACTTGTTTAAACGCTGTGGCAATAATCCATATTTTTTTAGGGTTTCATATGTGACATTAATTCCGGGACTGTGCTTATTCAGGGGCAGAACTTATTAATAGTTTACTGTAGGTCTTACRTGTAATGCTTATTTGAGGGTGGCCTTTAATCAGGGCGGCACTTAATTGAGTAAATATGGCATGTCTAGTGATTCTAGTGACATTTACAAAATGGGTAATAAATAAATCGCATTGAATAAGTTTATGACCATCAGATATTGATACAAAGAACCAAGAATAACACCAGCTCCATAGGACAGGAAAGTTCCAACGAGCAGACAATTAATTTTATATTGTAGGTTGAAGATTTGGTTGTACGTGCCCATCAGAGGAAAGGTTCTGAAACCAGTCAGTCAGCTGGCACTGAACTGTCTCTGCCAGACTCCAACAGTCTTCATAGCTCAGAAGGGATTCTCTCTCCTGAGCCTACAAGTACTACTCCAGATAGTGCTGTTGAGTCATCTGGTCCCTCACCAACTCCTCATTATCTACATCAAGGTTTGTCTTTTAATCACAGGAAGCCTAATTTAGATAAAAGTGCTAAGACGAAAATAAAACCTAGTAAATATATCATTTATTGAAAAAGAGGAGTCTAAGATATGTTTAAGCATGTTAAATAATTCAAGTGAACGGGAAAATCAAGCAAAAACACAGTCCAATATTTTTTCCCCCTCATCATTTGTTTTCCTATATAGTAATTTTCACTCATGGTCATCCTTTCTATAAAGATGTAGAAAATAATGTATTTTCATCTAGAAGTTTTATAGATTGGGCCTCCTTTGGTTTGTACTAATTATCTGTACACATGTACACTCTGTGTTACAGAGATTGGACTTATCTAAGGAGTAGACAAGTCAGAAGTGAGGCTTGTAAAAAGGATAATGAATTGTAGCACGGTCATGAAGCTTTCAGAGACCCAAATGCAAGGGCAGATCCAGGGGGGGCAAAGGGGGGCTGAATCCCCCCCTTCAGCAGAAAAAAAGGATGCTTTTTTATATTGTTTTCCGTTGTTGACGGAAGAAACTAAATTAGCCTCCCCTAAACTCAATTAGCCCCCCTAAACTCAATTAGCCCCCCCTAAAATTTTGGCTGGATCCGCCCTTGAAATGCCAATTGATAAATCAATATGAATTATGACTTTTAGCCCTGTCTGGAAATAAGCCATTTCTATTATTTAATCATTAACAATTGAATATGATTAACTTACTAGACTCCTACATGCAAGCCGTCACTAATCCAGTGACACCAAGCCTGCAAGCAGTTAAAAATCCCCAAAAGCCAAGTAAACCTCAGTCAGGAATCAGAAGCTCATTTGGCAAAGGGTTTTTCAAAACAAAAGGTCCAAAGAGCTCTAGTGAACCTAATATAGGTAAGTAAACAATAAATGAGAAGCTTTTAGTGTGATATTTCAATGGTAGTGCTCATGAAAGACCAACTTTTTAGGTCTATAATTAAAAACAAGTGTTCTTTGTTTGTTTGTTTTATAGTTTGAAGTGTGATGTACTACCATTATGCAAACCTTGATTCCCTCACTTGTTTGTTTGTTTCTTCGTTCGTTCGTTCRTTCGTCTGTCCATCCGTCTGCCCATCCGTTTGTTCCTTCGTTTGTTTGTTCGTTTGTTTGTCCTTCTGTTCATTCATCCATCCATTCGTTCATTCGTTCATTCATTGTTTTTCCATTTGTTCGTAAATTATGAAAATGTTGGCCTACTGTCACTGTTGTGTTTTTCTTCAGCTAAAGTTGAAAGGTCTGCTGATGGAAAGAATGGAGTGATACCACACAACAAGGTAACTAAAGCCATTAGTTGACTTAGACCTACAACTATAGCATACTGTCACAAATAACTTTGTCTTTTCTATATGGCTCTTTCTTTATTTTCCCTCCCTCCCTCCACATAGTCATTCTTCCCTCCCTCCACATAGATATTGATCCCTACCTCCCTCCAGCCATCCATTGATCCCTCGCTCATTGAAACACCCCTTCTTCCATGTATCCACTTATCCCTCCTACCCTTCCTCCATGTATCAATTCTCCTTTCCCTCTCCCTTCTTATTCCTACTTCCTTCCTTCCATCCTTCCACCAATCGATCCCTTCTTTTCTTTCATCTGTCATATGTATGATAATCCATAGGAAGAGGCACAAGAACCACAAGTTCCTAATGAACCAGCATCACCAGAAAATCACAGAAAAGAAAAGAAATCCCTTGGAAAAACGATAAACAAAGCCTTTGGAAAGTAGGGCTAACTTCTAACTTTCTTTTTAACAATCATTCAAGTTTAAGGTCTTTTTTTAAGTGTAGATTTGTTGTTTATCAGGTTACGACGAACCAAATCTCTGAGTGACAACCAAGATAACCGTATCAATCTCCCGCCATTGGACTTAAAAAGCCATAACAAAGTAGCAAAACCAGAATATGGGTGAGGCTTGAATTACTGCCTGATGTTCAGCTCAATCACAGCTCTGTTTATCTGTCTGTCTGTCCGTTTGTTTGTCTGTCTGTCTGTCCGTCAGTTTGTTTGTCTGTCTGTCTGTCCGTCAGTTTGTCTGTCTGTCCGTCAGTTTGTTTGTCTGTCTGTCTGTCCGTCAGTTTGTCTGTCTGTCTGTCTGTCCGTCAGTTTGTTTGTCTGTCTGTCTGTCCGTCAGTTTGTTTGTCTGTCTGTCTGTCCGTCAGTTTGTTTGTCTGTCTGTNGTCTGTCTGTCTGTCCGTCAGTTTGTTTGTCTGTCTGTCTGTCCGTCAGTTTGTTTGTCTGTCTGTCTGTCCGTCAGTTTGTTTGTCTGTCTGTCGGTCGGTCCATCTGTCTGTCTGTCTATGGATCTGTCAGCCAGTCAGTCTGTCTGTCTGTCTGTCCGTCTGTTTGTTTGTCTGTCTGTCCGACATGCGGAACGAGGTAAAGAGTGGGTGTATTGAGTTGAAGTTTAGTATTTGCTTCAGCAATATTTCACTCAGTCATCACAAATTCAGTAAACGGCTTCATTTCAAATTTTCTTTCCGTTGTTCGATTTTCCACTGATTCTCGTGGTTCTGCTTCATTTAGGGATCAACTCGAGTTACCGTTCCATAGCTGGAGTACAGAGATGGTGATGAATTGGCTGGATGATCTTGGTTTAGGTTGCTACACAGAAGGCTGCAGGCAGACCGTCACTTGTGGGGAAGATCTGGTCAGAGCATCAGGCCCTGAACTCGATAAGATGTTAGGTATTAGACATCCGCTGCACAGAAAAAAACTACAGCTTGCCCTACAGGTAGGTTTTGCATATCAAACTTCGATAGGGCCAATTTTTTAGGCGCGCTGAATCGTCCTTACCATATCTTGAGGCCCGTATGGCAAGCCGTTACTGCCAAAAGGGATCGAGATTTTTTTAAGGGGGGTTGAAATTTTTTTCTTTGTCCAGATTAACTTTTTAGCGATCGAAATATATATATACACTGTTCAATTTTTTTATTCCAGCCTCAGTTGCTGCTAGCGAGTTTTTCTGCTTA